CCTCCTCCTCCTCCTCCTCCTCTTTCTTGGCACCACCACATGTTTGATCATATTAAGGGACATGATGTCATCCATTTTCAGACGTTTGTCCTTCGCGCACCCTCTGTCCCTGGTGATGTCACTGAGAGATGTCCAGCGCGTCGTGGGCTCATCTTTGCACGGTGCTGCTGCCATCTTGTGGTGTAAACGGTGCCGGTTGAAATCGGTTCAGCCATGAAAGGAGGGAAATTGGCTGTGGAGGCCATTATTTACTCTGGATAATGTGAGTCATAATGGATGTCCTTGGTGCAACTGTACCGACGTGGACTGTTGGGTCGGGGACAAAGAACAGGACGCAGACTCTCTGGACACGAGCAGATTATTAATTAGTATTTTACTGATGTGGTGGTGACTGATGATGTTCTTAGAACATATTTCATTTGAATAAGATACGTTTACCTACAGTAGCCACGACATTGATTTTTTTTAAATTCTTCCACATTTAACATAAAGTAAACAGAAAAGGCAGAACAAAATATGACCTGACGTAAATTAAACCATTTCAATGTCTGTGTAAAACCAACAACTATATATCTACATGATCATATATATATATCATATATTTAATATTTTTTTATTTTGTATAATTTTAATTTCTGGCCTCACACTAGTCTTTATAATATAAATATATATATATTTTGATATATATATTTATATTTGTTTATATTTTTGATATATAAATATATATATTTAAAAATATATTTTATTTTATAAAGACTAGTGTGTTGACAGAAATTAAAATTATACAAAATTTAAAAAATGTATCTACATCTTATAGGATTTCATGACTAACGTAAAGCACTTTATTGTATTTGGTTAATGAAAAGAGATGTTTTTAAACCTCACCTGGCCACGCCCACAAATGCAGCATGGAAAAACGTCAAAAAAAAAAAAAAAAAAAAAAAAACACAACTAACTGTAAAGTCACACAGGTGAGAGGTAAAAAACGAACTTCCTGTTGGTTGTTTACCTGTGGAGCTCGACCGTCACTGGTTTCACAAAGTTACATGTATTTTCTACCAAGACCGGAAGTGATTTGCTTACCTCCAAAGTTAAAGCCGTCTTTTTACGTTTACTGTGCGTCACATCTCATTTACATTATATTTGTTTACGAATATTTTATACATATTATTAAGTCTACTTGTTTTGTGAGTTGTTGTTGTCGTTCAAAAGAAAACAAATAGAGTATCACATAAACCCACGTACAATATTTAATTTTAAGGGTCATGTTATGTGATTTATTTTGAAATATTTCATAGGAAGCGGTTTGTTGTTCGTCGCCTTCTATTATTTTTGACACGTTACTGGCCGCTGTCAGGTTTGTCTGTTCGTGTTAATAAAACTTACGGTGAGTTGTAAAAGGATGATTAACTGTTAAAAATGTCTCCGGTTACTATTTTATCTTGTGTGGGTGTTCGTTTATGCGAGTGTTAATTTATAGTTCGTTGGTCGACTATTATGTACATTACGGTTTTTACTACAGTTTATTTTTGGTCAACTCTGCCGCTGCCGTGTGTGCACGTGAGTGTTCGTCCTTGAATACGGTTAGGTTCGCACGTACCGGCACTAATTTCTATCCTAACGGTACCCACTTTGAGAAGTTCTGGGAAGAAGTACTGCCGAGAGTATATGGGTGGAGCTTTCCGCTACGTCGAGCTGTTCGTTCTGCTGCCGTGTCACGTGACAGTCGGTTCATCCAGCCGTCCAGCACTTTCTAACTAAATGCGTTGCTAAGAACTAACACAAATGTGATGTCGGTTTGTTTGTCTAACGAACACCGTCGTGTTGACGGAATGTCACTTCCGGGTTCAGGAAGTTGCTGCCCCGTCTGGAGGTGTTGGGACTTGCCTTGTGAAAATGAGTCACACGTACTGATTCACTGATGCCCCCCCCCCTCACCTCCCCAAAAGTAGTTCATACACAAAGGGTGTAAAATATGTGGGTTTATATTTAAAAACAAGGAGGTATGAATAAATAACTTATTAATTATAAATAATTAATAAGTTGAACTGAAGTAGCAAGAAGTTGAAGGAGGAGGAACAACAGTACTAGCTCTGTCAGTTTGGTCAGTTTTTATTAATTTATTTTTTCCTCTTGCTGTTTTTTTTCCTCTAAATAGGATTGTACTCCTGCGTCCAAAAAAGTTGCCATTGTTTTCTAGTCAACAGGAGCAGAAAGAAGGAATTGATGGGAACCGCTGGTCTCCAACTTCTTCATTCTTTCTGTTTAGTTTTTGAAGATGACCTCTCCAGTGGTGCCAGGTGATCTGAAGAAAAAGGTGAAGGAGGAGGAGGAGGAGGAGGGAGAAGAAGACGAAGACGAGGAGGAGGAGGAGGAAGAGGAGGAGGAAGGCAGCAGGCCGAACCCCACGGAGGTGAAAATGAGTCAGATGGTGATGCCGTGTCACAGCAACCACCGCCAGGAGCTGAGTGTGGGGCAGCTGTTGAAATGGATGGACTCGACCGCCTGCCTCTCAGGTCAGTGGGGTCATACCGCCACCTACTGTACTAGAGTGTGTTGTTACACGGTGGTGACCAGATAACGGATATACATTCATTTTAAAAACACTAACATTTTAGCCCACGTAGCAAAATATAAAAAAAAAAAAAATGAAAGTAGCTGTAAATGTTGGACTCATTTGTCTCCAATGTTTTGTGGCTGATTATGTCCCGTGTGGTGGTCGCACACGCAGCGGAGCGACACGCTGGATGCTCCTGCGTCACCGCCTCCATGGACGACATTCACTTTGAACACACCATCAGGTAACAGGAAGTGCAGCTGCACACAAGGGTTTCCCGGGTCACCCTTCTTTGTGTCTGCACTTAAAAAAAAACCCTAATTCTTCCTTTGGCGCCTCCCTGTGGTCATTCAGTGTGGGCCAGGTGGTGAACATCAAGGCGAAGGTGAACAGAGCGTTCAACACCAGCCTGGAGGTCAGAGAGTCCACTGATTTAAAGCAGCTGCCGTGTCACGGTGTTTACAGCAGAAACATTGTTGAATTAAAACAAACAAACAAAAAATGTGCTGCCATAAACTGAATTTGATCTGGTTCAAATGAATCAATTGTTAATTTAATTGAAAGTTTCTTTTTTAGTTATTAGGCATTTTTGCTCAATCTCTGATTGGTCATTCTGGCCACGTCACTAGTTTTCTTTTGGTCGTTTTTTTATTATTCAAATTCTGAATTCTGTTTTAGTTGGTATTTAAAAAAAAACAACTTTTATTCAATTGATAGTTTAAATTCAGCCATCATTTGGCCAAAAACAATAAACGTTAAAACCAAATGACCAAAAGTTTTGCCAAACAACAATTGCTGAGAAACTGCTATCGTTTGCCAACAGATTTTTTAAAAATGAAACATCAGAAGTTTAGCCACATTTACATTAAAACTGATTGAAAATGGAAAAATAATTCGACTCATTTCTAAATAAAAATGTCTGGACCCGTGATGGGCGTCAGGTGGGGATACATGTGAGCTGTGAGGACCTGTTCTCCGACCGTCACTGGAGGGTCTGTCGGGCCTACGCCACCTTCGTCACCCAGCGCACAGAGTCCGGGAACAAGGTCTGTGTCCGTGGCCCACGTGGACATCAGCAGTGTGGGCTGTCCAGTGTGTGACAGGTGTGTGTGTCCCCACAGCTGCTCCTGCAGCCCGTGGTTCCTCAGACTCAGAGGGAGCAGCAGGAGTACAGCGTGGCCGCAGAGAGACGGAGGGTCAGGATGCTGCACCATGACATCGTCAAAGATCTGCTCGCCTGCGGTTCCATCCAACAGGGTGGGTGGGCCGAGCGCTCTCTTTTGTCTCATGACGTGACAGTAAAGTTCACGAGGACTCAGAGCCTTGGGTCGGCCGAGCGTCCTCGTCATTGGCTTTTGTCTTGTTGACCTGTGTGTGACAGCTGAGAACTGGGCAGTGAACGCAGCAGTGGCAGCAGAGAAGACCAGGGTGGAGAGTGTGGAGTTGGTTCTACCTCCACATGCCAACCATCAGGTAACATCTCCATCCATCCATCCATCCATCCATCCATCCACCTGTCTGATGCGTTTGTTTTGGTCTGGATGTTGTCTTTGTCACGTCTGTGTCTCTGATCTTCAGTTGAACACGTTCGGAGGACAGATCATGGCCTGGATGGTGAACGTGGCCATGATTGCTGCCAGGTACACACACACACACACACACACACATGTACTGGCTTTATGTGACCTTCTAACACAGTACTGAAATGTTAGCACCGTGCTAATGAAGAAGCTTTGTGTCTTTTTTATGACAAACACCGCATTTTCTCACTTAACAAAACACAAACGTGTCCTGAACTTTCCTCTGACTCAAGTTTAACAATGCCCACACGTACTAGTACTCGTGTCATAGTTCACCCACCTGGACTTGAACCCAGAAGTGGGTCGTGATAAACGAGAGTAAACGATGTCCCTGGTCTCCTCCTCCTCCTCCTCCTCCAGTCGTCTGTGCCAGGCGTGTCCCACTCTCCGCACCATCGACATGTTTAAGTTCCGAGCTCCGTCCCAGGTTGGAGACCGGCTGCTGCTGAGGTCCATCGTCAACAACAGCTTCAAAAACAGGTGCTGCTGAGTCGACGGTCGAGGGTTTTATTTTGAGAAAGCTTGGTTAGCTCGTTTCGTCTAACGTTATTACAGCATGGAGGTCGGAGTACGAGCGGAGGCCTATCAGGAGACGGGACCAAACCGACACATAAACTCTGCTTTCATGACCTTCGAGGTGCTCGACGACCGGGGGAAGCCGTGTACGTTACCATGGTTACGGCCTGAACCCCTGGTAAGTTGAACGCAGGTTGACGCAGGAGTGTGTTGTGTAAATGTTGTCGTTCACCAGGTCACAGTACACACAGTGTACAGTGTGAGGTTTTGACCCGCTGCTTAGAGATGGAAGTAACATAGCCTGACCACACGGGGCAGCGGTTAGTTCAGCAAAGCTATGATTGTGTGAATGGATTTTTTTTTTTACTGGTCAAATATTGTCATTAAACGGTGGTGTTGTTTCAATGTAGTTTTATTTTCTCATATGTCTGTGATAAACAGGAAGGAGAGAGGAGGCTTCGAGAGGCTGTGGCCAGGAAGAAGATCAGACTGGACCGGTACAACCATTCGGAACTTTCCCTCCTCTTTCTTTCTTCCTTTGATTTTACTCAGTGTTTGTGTATTCTCTGTGTACTTTCAGGAAGTACATCATTTCCCGTACCCAGGGTGAAGTTCCTCGCTCTGTCCCCTGGGATCCCAGAAACCAGGTCCCTCACTCCCAGCTTACACATGAATGGATCTTAGCTTAGCATAGCACTCACCTGACCAGGTGTATTTCCATGTGCACTCGGTGAAGCGAACCATGTAGAGTAGTCTGTGGCAGTACAGCTAATGTGTGTGTGTGTGTGTTTTCCAGGTGTATCTAAGTTATAACAACGTATCAGCTCTGCAGATGTTGGCTGCCAAAAAGAACTGGCGCCTCAGCTCTGAGAAAGACAAGGTCTGAGCCGTTCAGGAGAACTCTGTTTCTGTGGTACTTTATCTAGAAATTACAAATAATACATAGTTCTTTTTTATAATATTAGAGGAAGTTAATTACTGATGCCCTAAACTAAAATCTCTGATTTTCTCTATGGACTTTGGTCTGAACTAAAATCTCTTATGTTCTCCATGGACTTTGGGCTGAACGAAAATCTCTGATTTTCTCTATGAGGTTTGGTCTGAACTAAAATCACTGTGTTTCTCCATGGACTTTGGGCTGAACGAAAATCTCTGATTTTCTCTATGAGGTTTGGTCTGAACTAAAATCACTGATTTTCTCCATGGACTTTGGTCTGAACTAAAATCTCTGATCTTCTCCATGGACTTTGGGCTGAACGAAAATCTCTGATTTTCTCTATGAGGTTTGGTCTGAACTAAAATCTCTGATCTTCTCCATGGACTTTGGCCTGAACTAAAATCTCTGATCTTCTCCATGGACTTTGGTCTAAACTAAAATCTCTGATTTTCTCTATGAGGTTTGGTCTGAACTAAAATCTCTTATGTTCTCCATGGACTTTGGTCTAAACTAAAATCTCTGATTTCCTCCATGGACTTTGGTCTGAACTAAAATCTCTTATGTTCTCCATGGACTTTGGTCTGAACTAAAATCACTGATTTTCTCCATGGACTTTGGCAGAGTGTAATTTGTCAAAGAAACTTTCTCTCTCCTCTGGTTTCCAGGTCCGTCTTTACACTCTGGAGCAGAAGTCCAGCCTGAGCTTCAGGGTGGAGTCACAGGTGGATGTCCCGGCTCACACAGCCTTCGGTCTGTTGGCTGAGCTTAGTAACAGACCCAGCTGGGACAGACACTATCGGTACCAGACAGTGGAGTTCTCCAAACTCCAACATTATTCCCTTTAGTGAATTATGTTGTTTGTTTTTCTCCTGCACCAAATGACCTCTGTGTGTAGAGACGCCCCGCGCTCGGGGGGGGGGGGGGTTTGGTAAAGAAGAACCAGAGGAAACGTTTTGATCAGCGTGTCTCTCTGCAGAGATCCGTACATCATCGCTCTCCGCTCCGTCTCTCTCCCCTCTCACCCGCCCACTGAAGAATTTAACAGAGGGGAGGTTCTGTGTGCCGGCTTCACCATACTGGAGATGGAGAACAACATGTCACTGGTAAGACTAGAACCAGGACCGTGAGCAGAGCCAGGCAGCCGTCAGGCTGTGACCTGGACGGTGGCCACGTTAGCCAAAAGGTGGTTACAGTCTGTTCCAAAACAAAGGAACATTCTGAAAGACGTGAGGAATAATAATCATGAGTGATTAATAGTAGTAAGTGATCATTAGTTTTGGTATAATTAGGTCCAAAGATAAATATAAAAATAAGCCATAAATACAATAAAACTATTAAAAAAAAGCCTTCAGTTTAAAAAAAACTCCATCAGTTCAACAACAATAACATGAACCAAAACAAAGAGCTAAATGTTAAAATATAAATCTAAAATTCTCACAGAACCAGAACCAGAACCAGACTGTAACTCCAGTTGCTGTGGTGTCTGTGGTTCTGTCTAGGTCAGTTACTACAACCAGGCGTCTCCGGAGGTGCTTCCCTACATCTCCACCGACATCGCCGGCCTCTCCTCCTACTTCTACCACACCTTCTGCTCCTGCAGCCGATACCTGACTGAGAACAGGCTGCACTTCCCTCCTGAGGAGCAGGCTCAGCCTGAGAGTCCACCGGGAGCCTCCCACAGCAGGGACACAGACGCCCAGGGTCTGTGTCCACCGCTGTAGACAGTCCAGCAGGATGTACTCTGGGACACCAGGTAGGACACCCATACTGAGGACGTAAACCTCTCAGACCACAACAACATTCAACTGTACTGAAAACTCTCTTGTTTGAAAGTCAGCGGTTGAATCTTCTCACCACCAGGGGGCTCTATAGTGTGGTAAATAATGTCAGCCGTTTTAGATCAGGTCAGTTTTATCAAATGTCGTTGGTAACGTTTGCATTTCAGCTGGAGTTTGGTAAACTTTTAGTCCTTGTTTGGTACATTTTAAGATGTACAGAACTTACTTTTAGTTTTTTTTTTTTTTTTGCTTAAATTGTTAAATTGGTGGGAAAAGAGCCATATTGCATCTTAACTGATTGGCCACCAGGGGGCTTTTTACGGTTGTAATTTGAGTTGTTTCAATGTTGTGCAATATTTTAGTCCTTCTTTGGTACCATCACATTAGCAGCTTTTATAACTGGCCACTAGAGGGTGTTTTACCCTTGTAAATTAATATTGTGAATTAATAAAAGGGAATTTTTAACAAATGTTGATGGTATTTTCTTTGGTCATTTTTTACTAAGCTTATAGTTTAATTTTCAGCTAAATGTCAGTCAGTGTTAGCAAATGTTGCAACATGTTGGGCAATTTGGATATTAAAATCCCATCATCAACTCTCAGCGTGTGTTGCCCGGTTTGACCGAAGTTTAGAAAGTTCTAGAAGACCCGGTCCAGATGAACAGTCGTGACTGAAATACAACAACTCTATGAAGAGACATTTTCACTCAGACTGAGGTTTTTATGGACATTTTTTTTTTCAGATTAATAATCCCAGCATTTAGATTAGTCACAGGTAAAAAAAGAGGTGAGAAACACTGCCCTCTACCTGCTGATATCGGTCTGTTCCAGAAATATACAGAAAGAGAAGTTTATTTATAGGAATATTGATTCATCTCCATCTTAATTATTACGCTCACTGGTCCACCACGAACCTGTGATTGATCAGACTTAAAATATGAGCCATGTCCCAGCAGAGGGCAGCAGTGGTGTAGATTGTTTACCCCTCGGTCCTAGAACGTTCCTCTGACCACGTACACAGTGGTGCTAGGTCTTCCTGCACGTTTCCGCAGCGCTGCGTTCAACACCTGAGCGGCGCTCTGCTCTTCTACCGCGACGTCAAATCTGTCCAACGCCTGCGCCCCAGCGTGGAGCTCCTGCTCCTCCTCCGGGAGCAGAGCCGAGTGCAGACGCAGCACCACCCGCTGAGACACTGAGGATACTGCCGCTGGCAAGCAAGGCGGCCATTGTTGCCCCGTCAGAACGAGGGTGACGTAGGGGAAGATCTTCTCCACCCTGGAAACAAACTAATGACAGGACGAGAGGTCGTTCAGCTGGGTCACCTGACCTCAGGGCATCAGCAGAACCAGAGGTGATTCTGGTGCATGACACCAGTACGGATCAGTACCTGGGTTTGTTCGCTGCTCTGTAAACCGTCCACGCTGATCCAAACGGGCCTGTGGAGCAGCCCACTGCTGTGGGCTGCATTCAGCGACATCAGCGAAGCCTCCAGAAGCTTCAGGGAGTGAACCTGGAGGTAAATGCCCCAGGGTGCATCTGGACTCTGGGCCAGCAGATCCAGAAGGTCCTGCACCAACGTGCAGACAAAGAAGGACGTGTCAGTTTACAGTTCGACTCCCCCCTTCAGGGGCGGAGGGACAGGTTTCTGATGACGGTACCTCCAGTGTCACGGCCTCTGAACCTTCTTCACCTCCGTCCACCACAGCCGACACCTGACACACCAACATCCCTCCAGAACCGTCTGCACACACAGGTTTAGAAGCTCAATTTACGGCCCGTGTTCTGCCTTTGGACGATTCCACTGAAGTCATGTGATCGAAATATTTTTGATTTTTGAAAAGCTTAACGGAACTGGGACCAGGTCCGATTGACCCCAACCTGGGCTGCAGACCCTGAATTGAGACTCAGCTACGGCGTTTCTCACCTTTGAGCTGAGCCAGCACAGACAGACGGTCAGTGACGGGGGACCAGTGGACAGAGAGACTGCTGCACACTGAGGACGTGGTGACCCTGTCGTCTGGACAGAGGAAGTCCATCAGGTCTCCTCCAGGATAGAAACTCCGGATGCGGCTGCGCTGCCCTGAAAATCAAGTCAACGAAATCGACTTTGATTTGTTGTTCCACACCTTTGAGAAAACAAAAACCGTTTGGATTGAAAAGTCTTTTTGAGTGTCTGACCTGCAGCTTCTTTAAACAGTGACAGCGTTGGTTCATAAATGTCGTAGTAGACCCTGGATGGGTGGGTGTTGTCACGAACAAACAACAAGTCGCTGACGTTTGGGTGGATGGATCCCTGCCACAGAGTCAGACTGAACCTAAAAACACAGTGAACGTCGGCTCAGCGTTCCTAGGAAGAAACCTAAAGAACCACGCGTGTCCTACCTTGAGGACTGACGGAGGAGCCAGCTGAGGTGCTGCCAGCCCTTGCGGACCAGGAGGGCGTGGACAGGAAACGTTACCTGTGGAGATGTCACAGAGTTTGGACCCTGATGGAGGTCACAACCACAGAGCGATAGAACTACAAAACTCTTCCTGCTCCAACGTCCGTGGACGATCACATGTCCTACTCTGTCCTCTGTCGGGACTTGTGGCGGTAGGTCTGGATGTGGGTTCTTACCACCGTAGAGCTGGCACTTTACCTGTTGCCGTCAGTTGGAGTAGGGCCAAGAACTGAGAGAGGTTCTCAGGGAAAAACTCTGGGATGTTCACCTTCTGTGGGACGTCTTTGATGAGGCTGTACATGTCTTCTACCATGGACCTGGTGTAGGACTCGGTGAACAGCGGTGGACCGACGTCTTTGATGAGGCTGTACATGTCTACAGCCTACATGTAGGACACCTGTCAAACACGGCAGCCTCAGCTGTTAGATGTACTGGTATAAAAAAGGTGTTTTTTATTTTCTGACTCCAGCTGAGGTGCAGTAGCTCCAGTGGGTTTCACAGAAAACCTCCACCAGGTGAAGCTGATCTGACACACCTTCAGTGATGCAGTAAATATAAGGAGTGCTCCCCTGTGCTGTGTTGGTCACTGATACCTTCCATCCAGGAGACAGCGTCACCACAGGAAATCGTTCTTGAATAAGCTGCAAAAATCTGGAAAAAGGAGAGTTCAGTGAGAGGAAAGAGCTGGAGACCAAGAACAGTTCCAGTGATCATTTGTCACAGTATGACACAGTATGAGGTCATAAAGTCACCTGGTGTTTTGATTGGTCCAGATTTTAAAATAATATTATATCAGTATCTATGTGTTGTTGCCGTTCTGTCACCGTTACTGGAACATAACACACATTGACCTCTGACCTCAGACGACTGTCTGGACTTTAGAGGATCAGTGTCTTCGAGGACCACCATAAAACATGTCTTACACAGTTCCATTTACTGGGAGAACAAAGTCCGGTGTGTTTGGACCCGGGAGGACGTCTGCGTTTAACCAAACTGGACGGTTAATTTCCTGGGTGCTGTTCTTCTGTTGAAGAAGGTCGAGCGAGTGGCCCACTGATGCTAAAGTTTTAAAATCCAGCTTGATGCCTGTGGAGGAAAAAAGGTCCAGATTTAGCCCAGGTACCGGCTCCGACTTCCCACAGTGTCAAATAGATGTCGTCCAGAACCGTTGAAAACCTCCAAACTGGAGAGGAGCAGAGAAAGGACAACAGCGTCGCCCGTTACAGGTCGCTCCAAATCCCTGACTCCCTAAAACCAAGGGAGAACCACCGGTTCAGCCTAGAATCACAGGAGAACCAGCTCCTCGGACCAAGACTGGGTCCAACGAGCGACCACAGCAGGACCAGGCGGCACGGTTCCTGGACGTGTTTATGGATTCCCATGGTTGGGTAATCTGAACGTCTTTGGTCAGGAAGACGTGCTGACCTTTTCTGGAGGTCAACACTGCATCCAACCATTGGCCCAGAGTGTTGTCACTGAAGATGTCTGGAGGGTGGGCCATGATGGGGATTGGCTGTTCACTGACTGTGCCGTAGCCCTCCAGAGTGACATCAGCCTCCAGGATCATGGCATCACCTGAGGGGAGGGGGGGGGGGGGATTTATTCATACTGATTTTGGGTAAGTGTGTGTGTGTGTGTGTGTGTGTGTTTTACTTGCTAAGGCTTTGTTCATTTCCTCCTTCTTGTTGGCCCTGTGGTACCAGGTGGCCTGCAGACCATCAGGTCGGCTGATGTCACCAGATTGAACAAGGTAGTCCAACATGTCTCCACCAGGAGAGAATGAAGGAAGAGGAGGTGGTGGATCTGATTGGGTAAAAAATGAATATATATATATATATATATATACTGTATATACCAGCAGCTAGAGAGAGAGCAGAGAGGTTATAGATCTAAACCTGCGTGAAGGCTAATCCTCCTTTTTTATCACACACTGGTCCACTGACCACCTCACACATTTGACTCTCAGCTCGGTTTCGTTTTAGTCATACGTCTTTTCTAAGATCGTGAAACCGATGCATATCCTTGTTAGTTAATTTCTGTCTTTTTGTTGGAACCAAAACCAAAACATTAGGAATCAACTGTTCACACGATTAAAAAAAAAAAAAAATCAACACCTGATTTCATTGCTTCTCCTCCTCCTGGAATTAATTACACAGTCAGCTCCAGTCTGACCACATACTTCATGAGATTAGGAGGAGGAGCAATAGGAGGAGGAGAAATAGGAGGAGGAGCAATAGGAGGAGGAGAAATAGGAGGAGGAGCAATAGGAGGAGGAGAAATAGGAGGAGGAGCAATAGGAGGAGGAGCCAGCCCCATGTTGACTGCACCCTGGTTCAGTTTATGAGGAAGTGAAACTCAGACAGTCGTTGTTTCTGAGAGCTGAAATGGAGGAGCAGAGAAATCAGCTGAACCCAGAAAAATTCTGCTGTTCT